ATAGAAGCGTTCCCCATCCTTCCATCTGGTACTTGCAAATTAAAGGGGAAAACTTAATTACCCCAAGAAACATGAAAACATTGTAGCTAGTTCCAGTGAGCTCCTTTGCCTGCTCTTCTAAGCTGTGACAGTGTATTGCTTGTTACCCCTTTCTTCCTTTGCAGTGGCATTAATTCAAATATATGGGCCTTGGGACTACTATGATTTAATGCCAGATGAGCTCTTACCATGTAAAACCCCTTGAAAGCATTGGCCATTCGTGCAACAGCATCCAGTGCGTGTCTGATCTAATATGGAGCTATTTTATTTTGCTCTTGTGTCAGAATGTGGTAGGAAGCTTAGTTGTCTCTTTGCATTATAAATAGTAATATTCATTAGAAAATTTTTATCGTGACCTAAAGTTTTATTTGTTCTTCACACACATAGGCAAGTAGTATTTGTTATGTAAACTTGAAGAAAGCTTGTTTAGGAAACTGTAGCTCTTAGGTTGGGTAGATGGTTATTTACATTTTCACATTTCTCTTTTTATTTTCTTCCCACAATAACCGAATGATGTAAAGCACTTGAGATAAATTCCTGTGGACTTCTATCTAAAGATACCTAATGTACCGATCTTATTATTCTGCTGAAATAACTAGTGTTGAAAACTCATAAATATAACTCTGGAAACTATAATAACTGTGAAAAGGTGAATTGTAAAACAGGGTGTGATGTTTTAGACTGAGTCTGTGCATGTTATCAAAACTATGATACTAAATAATAACTATACTAAATTTTAAGTCCAGCTCAATCTATTCCCTACATCCTACATCCACATTTCCAACTGTGCTCATGCAGGGAAAACCAATGCCTGCCTCCCCAGTGAACACCTACACACAAGGAGGGCACCCTACAAAATACCTGTTTATCTAAAAGAGTGTGATTGATGCACTTGGTTTCTAAGTGAACGCAGAGTTGCCCGGTAAGCTCATTGGTGAGCGACATTGGCTGATGTCACCCTGGAATACCTGGACTTAAAAGTTGAACTATATGAAATTGCCATTTTTATAGTAAAAAATTATCAACCACAGATAGCCATTTAAGCATCTTAAGCTCAAGAGCATTGGAGTAAAAACATTCTGGAGTGGGAAATAACTTAAAAGATCAGTTCCTCAGCTTCCCGCTAGATGCTGGAATCGCTTTGATAGCATCTCTGACAAATGGCTGTCTGGCCTCTTTGGGAGCATTTTAAATGATAGGGTAATCCTTGCTTTATCTAGTTATTTAGCTCCTGATAAACTCTTGTACAGTCCTTGGAATTTAAGATTTTGCTTAGAAATTAAATCGCTCTTTTGGGGGCATCCCCTGTCCTGGTGACCCTCCTCTGGACACATTCCAGATTAAGTTTCCCTTTAAAAATATTATGTCTATGAATATAACATTCCAGATATGGTATGAACTAATCCACAGGGAGTGTTACTTCCATAAACTCAGTGCCTTTAAAATGAATCCCAAGAATATGTTTGCTTCTCTCTCAGCTGTGTCACACATACTGCTCCCTTGTTTTGTTTTTCGGTTTTGTTTTGTTTTATTCACATGAACAGTTGTCAAGCCCTTTTAAACAAACTCTGATTGGAGTTGCCTACTGCCTTGAGTCTCGGACTGGGAGTTAGGAGAGCTCTAGTTACTAGGCTTAGATCCATGTGTGATTTGTTGTGTGATCCCGGAAGACGCTTGCAGTCTGTGAATTCATAACAAAGGCAGCGGGAAGTTACATAAAGTGACACAGAAAATGCTCCAAACCCATTGAATAAAAAGCCAGGAATAACAGATTTGACTCACAACTTTCTAAATACAAGGAGATATGCAAATGAATGTCAGTAAGAACTTGGAACCCATTTTCAGCATACAGTTTAAGTGACTATAGAAATTAACATTACAGAGCCCCCAAAGACTGACCTTTGGACCCCTTTCCTTCTCTGTTTATACTGTCTCCCCAGGTGACCTCATTCAGTCTCATAGTTTTAAATATCACATAGTTTTGACATTTGATTCTCAAATTTTATCTCCAGCTCAAATCTCTCCCGTACACACTAGATCTGTATGTTCAACTGCCTTCTCAGTCCTTTCACTTGGGTGTCTTACAGGCAAATCAAACCTCCCATGTCTTAAAAGCTGAGCTCCTGAGTTCCATCCTTGCCCCTCCTCAGTCTGTTCACAACACTATAGCAAGGTTCATTCTTTTAAAATAAGACAGGCCAGGTTATATCGCATAGTTCCAAACCCTCCCATGGCTTTCCAATCTCACTCTGAGTAAAAGCTAAAATTCTTAAAATGGCCTACAAGGCCCTATACCATCCAGCCTCCCATTATACTTCTAATCACATCTCTCCTTTCCCAGACCCCATCTCCTCCAGGTATTCGTTTCACTCCAATCATACTAGGCTCCTCAGTGTTACTGTATTTTGAGACTCTCCTGCTTTAAGACTTTCGCACTTGCTGTTCCTGTAGCTGGAGTCCTCTAAGGTACCCAAGCAGGGTATCTGCCTCCAGCTCTTAACCAACAGATACCTCTCAAAAGAGGCCTATCCTGGCTGCTCTTTTAAAACTGTACAAACACCCCACCCAACTCTCACTATCAAATTTTTCTCCATAGCACTTATTATCATATAACATATATTTTTACTAATTTATTGTTGTCTTTTCTCTCCTGACTTAAACATGAGATCTATGAGAACAGAGATTTTTGGCTGTTTTGTACTGCTGTTTCCAGCACTTAGAACTGTCTTTGACACATAAGAGGTGCTCAATAAACAAATATTGGTGAAAGGTGTCCAGAGACTTTATTATATGTTATACCCTTGTTGAGGTATCTGATATACTCTATGCATGTAAACAGATAAAAGAAGGTATATGACATTCAAAATGTTTCCTTTTAGGAACTTCTGCCAGCCTTTCTCAATAAGGGGGGTTCCTCATCTGGATCACAGAACACAGAAAAGAATTTGAGAGACTGTTTTCTTAGTTCTTCAAAGGATGGGTCATAGCCAGTACCTTTCAAAATGCATAGGAGAGAATTAATTCACATATCCTATTGATATTTCAAGGCATTAGGGCCTAATGCTGGTGGAACCTAGTTTGAAAAAGGCTGCGTTAATGCCTAAAATTATTTTATAAAAAACAAGTTTCTGAAAACCTTATAAAAGCAAATAAACAGAAAACTCGTATTCAAAGTCAGATGATTCTCAGTAATAGATTTCTGAAAAAGCTGTCTTTGCAGTGAGTTAATTATTTAAGGATAAGGAAGGAAGCCTGAAGTCTCTTAGGTCATAATTGATTGAAGTATTTTCACATTTTTCCAGTACTAAAGTTTTATCTGTTTATTTGTATTTTGGTTGCTAGCATAGCTTTTCACATGTTTCTAGAGTGTTAATTCATTAGTGAAATGCTGCACATAGACACACAGGTCCCTCCTGTTATTTTCATTACCAAATGAATAGATTGGGCCCAAGAAGAATTGTCTGACTTAAAATAGTCTAATAGAACTAACTCAGCCAGCAGCCTGACTGCTTCTTCTTCTAGCAGTAATCCACAGTATCACAGCTACTAGGAGGTGAGGCTTCATCAGGCTCGAGCCATAGAACATATGTGCGCATGTTCTATGGGATAGATTGTGGATTAGTGATTCATCAAGTCGTGTTTTGATTTTGGGATTTTATGAAACAAGACAACATCTCATGGTAACATTATATTGTATTTTATATTACTTTTCTACCTTGAAGTTGAAAGTTTTTTCATATTATTTCATTTATTCATAAGATTTTTCTGGTTGTAATAGAGAAAAGGGAGAGAGAGGCTTTGTTATACTCCCTAATTTACAGTTGCATAAATTGAAAAATTAGTCACTTAACTAATTAGAAGTGAAACAAGAGTTAAGGTCTCAGGCCTGTACTTAAGTAGGTTATTGGCTTGGTTATCAATCATTAATTTTTCATTAAGTTATGACTCTGGGCTTCAGAGTGTACTGATAAGTACAAACACTTTTGCCCTGGTTGGTGTGGCTCAGTGGATTGAATGCCAGTCTGCGAACCAAAAGGCTTCAGTTCTATTCCCAGTCTGGACACATGTCTAGGTTGCACCCCCAGTTGGGGGCATGTGAGAGGCAACCAATCAGTATATCTCTTGCACATTGCTGTTTCCTTCTCTGTCTTTCTCGCTCCCTTCTCCTCTAAAATAATAAGCAAAATCTAAAGAGAAAAACCCACACTTTAGAAACTTTTCAAGCATGTGGATACATATGTGTTGGATTTCTTTACATTTTCCTAGGGAAATTGTTTAATGCTATCTCAACTATTCTTGTGAATATGCTACTTTGAATATAGTGTCAGGAATGAGTAGGGGTTCAAATAATAAATGCCACACTACTTCAGGAATAATCTTTTCATGTGTTTGCAGAAATACCACTCTCGGTCTGGGTCTGTCAGGCATTTTGCATTCACATATTTTTACAATCTAGACAACTGATATTTTGGCTCTTACCTGGTAACAGGTCTATATAACAGGCTCTTTGGAAACAGATTCATTTTGGCTCCAATAAAAAATACAGTGGTTGAACTAACTATAATTAGTTGACTACTGTTAAGAAAATAAAATACCTTTCTTTTCCATTTTAGAATAGAAAAGTGGTATAAAGAATTTTTTCCTTTGACTTGGGAGAAAACTCAAGCCAAAAATGGGGAAACTTGCGAGGTTTGTTTGTTTTCCCCTGACTCATCCTTAGAAGCTGAAAGAGGCAAAAGAAAGGAGAGCTATTCTGGGTAGAGTTAGGACTCCAGTCTCAGCCTTTGTAATCACTGCTAGCCAACCACCTGCTGCTTTGGTAGGTTAGTAAATGACAGAGGTAGGGAAAAAAGAAACTGCTAAATAATATTGTATGCATGTCGTTCTTTCCCATTCAAAATCCTAAAGCTGAATAAGAACCTTAAAGATGTTATATGTAGTATTGGTTATAAATACATGCAGTGCCTGCTTCAGCGGCACATATGCTGAAATTGGAATGATACAGAGACTAGAATGGCCCCTGCGCAAGGAAAGCATGCAAATTCGTGAAGCTTTCTGAATTTTTCTAAAAGTATCCAAAAACCATTAATAATATCAGGTATCACTTATTGACGCTTTACACCAAGCATTGCACTAAACACTTTAATTACATTATCTTATTTAATCTTTACAACTTGACTTTGACAAGTCATGTCTGCCTATTATACAGTCTTCTTTATAATACCTGTTACAACCATAAGGAAAGAAAAACTCTAAATGATTAATTTTGTAATTAGTTGTTTCATGTCTGATTCACCAACTAGACTGAAAACTCCATGAAGGTAAAGGTAGACTCTATCTGTCCTGTATTCCCAGCACTTAGGATGTGTCTGGTCCGTAGCAGATGCACAATAAAAATTTGTTGAATTTTTGTGTGAATCTGAATGTGTGAATGACTGAATACACGAATGAACTAACAACCGCATTGAATGGGTTTAGGTACCATCTCCACTTTATTCACCTAGAAACAGAAACTGAGACTTCAGTCCAAGTCTGTCTGACTCCAGAACACAAAACCACTATATTTAAATGGCCATTGGGGAACATAAAAATCATCATGGCTGTGGAAAAGTGTTTGACATTTCTAGGTATTCTGAATGTAAACACTTTCTTCAAAAGCCATTATCCTATAAATTTGGATCAGGATTCGGGGTGGCTGTTGTTTTCTTCACTCAGGTGGTAGAAGCATGGTTTCCTCAGCCTCTAACTCATAAGCTATTCCTTGGTGTTATTAGTGAAACAGATGACTGCCCAGGAAGCTGTTTCTGGGCTCTGTTGCTAAAGGTACTTTGAGCTCGAACTCACCCTAGGAGGGAGAACCACAAACTTTTTGTACAGATTAGCTCCTTTCAATAGCTAATCTTTGAGGATTTCTTAATCCCCTCACCTCCCCTGGTGACCCAAGTTCATTCTTATTGCCTCGTGTTAGGACTTTGCTCCGTGGCTGTTTTCCAGCTCCTAGAGGGACACTGAGGCCCCTGCTGCCCAAACATTCTGTAGGCTGTGCCTGATTAACTGGGCAAGGTCAGACTTGCCTTTTACAGCCCTCCCAGAGATAGACCCTTGGCTAAGAAATCTCAGAAATGTCTTAATTTTCTGGATATAAGTAGATCAGAGTACCAGAGATCTTAGGAACTCTGAGATTTTGCAGCTTTCTCTCCTTAAAAGTGATGTAAGTACTTCTTACTGGGAAACAGATAATGTTTTATAGACAGTACTTTATGGTTCCCAACCTTCCTCCCCCAAAACCTCACTGACTATGTAGGAAGAAACTATCCACAGAAACTTCAGCATAAATCAAGGAAGGAAATTGATTCAAATCATCCAGCAAATGATCAGCAACTACAGAACTAAATGAAGACTAGAAAGACCTCAGCTAAACATGGGAATAGCAGCAGCTGCTGCTGCCTACTAGGCACAATCAAAAGTCTTGTATCATTCACCCCCTAGAGTATACTACTAAATGGACTTGTCATCAGAGCATTTTATTATACCAAAAGAGGATTTATCACTTCTTTTGGGAGTCTAAAATGCCTAATGCAGGACCCGTGGAGGCCAGGAAGAAGGGAGAGCACACTGAATACTTCATTGTCAGTGTCTAGTTGCGTTTGCAGGCATAGTTCAGCCTCATCAGAGCCAGTCTTAAAGAAGAAGGCTCTGTTATCTCAGACAAACACTTTCTGTGTGGTTCTTAATTACTTTCCCATGGGGTCCTTGTTTTCTAGATCTTATCTATTAAGTTATTGTACTAAAACACAAATTGTATCAGGCACTTAAGCAGCAGAGAGAGAAGGGTAGCTACCCCTAGGTTCATGATCATGATCTTGCATTGAGAACTTTAACCGATGGCTGCCTTGGTATAATCTCTCTTTTTGCATATTCAAGGACCTCTGAAAATAAAATCAGCCCTCGATTCCAAGTTAATGCTATCCAGGAGGAATGTCTTTGACGACCCCTCTCAGCTTCCTCTTTCTGACCTCTGGGTAGCACTTTCGTAGGAGATGACTGGGACAGCACCACAGTGCCATTTATTGTATTTTGCCATGTACAGTGCACACCCACGTTTTTGGCCCAAACTTCCAGGAAGAAAATCTTTTGTTTTAATTTTTAATTCAATTCGTATTTATTTATATTTAGATACTTGTTTTTTGTATTATAAAGGAATTTTAGTATTTATTTTTTAACATATTATGGTACAAGAAATTTTATGTAACCAATAATTACAAAACGCAAGAACCAGATACAAGATATATCAGGTACTACCCATGTATAATGCGCATCCTTATTTTTCCCGCAAAAATTTGGGTAAAAAAGTACGCATTATACACAGAAAAATACGGGGGTGTTTACCAGATATGCCAATGTGTATGGTGCTGGATTATTAGAGAAACCTCAGTTCACCGCCCAGTTTGGAGAAAGGTGGCCATTTTTTCCCCCTGAGGGTTTTTATTCTGTCGTTCTAGCGGCTTCATATACAGATAGCTCTGATGATGAGACATCTCCCAGGGACAAGCAGCAAAAGAACTCTAAGGGAAGCAGTGACTTCTGTGTCAAGAACATTAAACAGGCAGAGTTTGGACGAAGAGAAATTGAAATTGCTGAACAAGGTAAGGAAAAGCAAGCACCTTTTCCTCTCAAGCTGCCCTTTCTTTTTGTCCGTGTTAATAGCTTTTCCCGTCCTGGGGCCTAGTAGCTTGTGAAATTTCAGTGTGATATGGAAGACTACCTATAACAAAAAATAATCTGAGCTCAAGAAACACCGTGGGAAGGGAGTGAACTTTAACAGGTCAGGAAGGAACCTCTATACAAGAAAAGGGGGAGACAGAGGGACTTAGATCAATAGGACTGGGATATAGGAAATCAGAACACAGGAGCATGTGCCTCTGAAGGCCCCTTATAAAAGAAAAGTCAGGTTTAGTGTCTTAATCCCTTGAGAAACCCAGTCTAACAGGGAACCTCATCAGGGGAAGGATCTTACCTTAAGAGAATAAGTTTTTCCCTTTATTCTTTCTTTCTCATTCCCTCCTCTCTAATATTGCTGTGTATGTATTGGGCCTTTTCAGAAATGCCGGCACTGATGGCTTTGAGGAAGAGAGCTCAAGGAGAAAAACCTTTGGCTGGAGCCAAAATTGTGGGCTGCACACACATCACTGCTCAGACCGCTGTAAGTCTTTTTCCTTTCTCTACATAGTAATAGTTAATAACGGCCCCTGCTGTTCTGTGCTTACAACTTGCCAAGCACTAAGTCAAGAGCTTAACAAGTATTAGTCCATTAATCCTCATAATGGCCTTCTAAAGCACGGATTCCTAGCTCTAATTTATAAATGAAGTTTGAGGCTCAGAGAGTTTAAATAATTTATCCAAGGTAATACTGCTAGTAGATCACAGAATCATATATATCTGACTTCCACACTTACGCTTTCTCCACAGTACTCTACTGCTTCCCCTTATCTTCACTTCCAGTATCATTTCTAAAAGGCAGCTCTGTGTTAGGCTGCTTTAAGCTGCAAATAAGAGGAAACCGCATTCTACCTGGCTTATACGTAAAGGAATTTATTACATTACAAAGCTAGAAGTCCAGAGGGCAGGCAGACTTCAGATGCAGGATCTCAGGGCTCCAGTTTCATTTGTCTCTCTGATTGTCTGGGAGCTGCCTCATATCCCCACACGTAATCCATCCTCTTGCTATTAGCAAGATGGCTTTTCAAGCCATCACAAACTGACATGAAGAGGGAGAAGCACCATTTCTCCCTGTCTCCCAAGAGCAAGGAAACATTTCCCAGAAGTCCTCCAGGATACTCCATCATGTGTCATCAAGGGGCATGGGAGCAGAACTGGATCCCATGCCCCTTCCCAACGAGTCCTGGGACTGGGGTTACCGTGGTTGCTTTAGACCAACGATTCTCACGCCATCAGAGTCAATGTCCCCTGGTTATAAAACACTATTTTGCACGCCCCTGCATTATCTTGAAATGAAATTCGGATATACTGGATCTAGCTATGTCTGATTTTTTTAATCAACATTAAAAGTTTAACTGAAATATGAAGGAAGAATAAAAGGAAAATAATTTATAATACAATGTGTATTTCAGTAATAAATGCTTGGGTACAGATACAATTGAATAGTCAGATATTTGTACTTACTCATAGCACTATTTAAATCAAAATACCATAAATGTAGATAGACAAATCTGTTACTGGTTCTATATTATCACAATAGTATTGCCAAATTATGTGATTTTCAAAAAATTATTAGCAATCTTTTGTATATTCCTGAATAATAACAAAAAGTATGAGTTTTGTCTTCATTTGCACAGTTTTTGCTCTTGGAAAAACTACAAAACCACTTTCTGTTAATATGTAAAGTGGAATAAAGTTGTAAACACAGATAATTATAAATAGGTTTCTTATTCATTGAAACATTGAAAAATTTTACCAGATGTGGCACAGTTTCGTGTTATAAAAGACTGTCTTGTACTTTCAAATTGGCCCTGCGCATTAAATGCCAGTAGCACTCCCCTCTCAATTATTGTGATAACCAAAAATGCCCTCATAGTTTTCCAGAGTTCCTCTGTTGAGAACCACCCTCAAAGATGTGGTGGATACAGAGTTGCCAACAATAATGAGATCACTATGGGAAATTGGAGTATTGAGAAAGGACCCGGAATCTTTTACAGGATTTGTAAGATCCAGGTCATTTTACAGGTGAATAGTTGAACTTCCAAAAGATTGTCTCCTGAAGTGCAACACTTATGTGGCCACATTCCTTATCAAAAACAGCAGAGATTCCTCAAGACACAGACAGCTGCCCTCAGCGTCTTCACTATGAGACTTTTCTGGGTTACATGTTCTCTGAGGAAAACAGTACTTTGGCAGCCCAAAATTAATATAATAAATTGAAAAGCTGTCTCTTTTTGGAGCTACAGACTAATGCATTGAGGCAGAAACACCCTTGGGACCTTTTTTGGGCTTCCCCAGGCAGGGACATGAGGCATCAGTGTGGTGGCTTAAAATAGTAAGTGCTTC